CTATCTTGCATAAGAACACATCCTAAACCTTGATGAGATGCATCACAATAAACCTCAAAAGATTTATTAGGATCTGGCAGAATCAACACTGGAGACGACGTCAGCTTTTCCTTTAACTCTTGAAAACTCCTTTCACACTCCTCCGTCCATATAAAAGGATGATCCTTCCTGGTCAGCTATGTCAAAGGCATAACTATTTTAGAAAATCCTTCTATGAATCTTCTATAATAGCCAGCCAATCCCACAAAACCTCTAACTTCAGTAACTGATTTTAGATGCTCCCACCTTAAAATCGCTGTGTCAAAGGCATAACTATTTTAGAAAATCCTTCTATGAATCTTCTATAATAGCCAGCCAATCCCACAAAACCTCTAATTTCAGTAACTGATTTTGGACGCTCCCACCTCAAAATCGCTTCCACCTTAGTAGGATCAACTGCAATTCCTTGTGCAGAAATCACATGACCCAAGAACTTAACTTCAGATAACCAAAACTCACATTTCGACAACTTTGCAAATAACTGTTTCTCCTTCAATACCTGCAAAACTATCCTCAAATGTTCTTTATGTTCTTCCATAGATCTAGAATAAACCAGAATATCATCAATGAACACCACCACAAACTTATCCAGAAAGGGTCTGAAAATCCTGTTCATATAATCCATGAAAACAGCTGAAGCATTCGTCACTCCAAAAGGCATGACAACATACTCATAATGGTCATACCGAGTCCTGAAGCAGTCTTTGGTATGTCCTCCTCCTTTACCTGAATCTGGTGATATCCAGATCTCAAATCAATCTTGGAAAAAATAGAAGCTCCCCTCAATTGATCCATCAAATCATCTATCCTTGGCAATGGATATTTATTCTTTATTGTCAATTTATTTAACTGTCTGTAATCCACACATAACCTCACGCCACCATCCTTCTTCTTTACCAACAACACTGGTGCTCCCCACGGAGATACACTAGGTCTGATCATTTGCTTCTTCAAAAGCTCTTCAACCTACTTCTTTAATTCAGACAACTCCGTTGGTGCCATTCTATAAGGAGAAATAGACACTGGTCCCGCCCCTGGTATAAGATCAATACTAAACTCCAACTCTCGCTTTGGTGGTAATCCCAGAACATCATCCGGAAAAACCTCTGGGAATTCTCTAACAACATCAATACTATTCAACAACTTTTCATTCTTTACACTAATAAAAGATAGGATCATAAACCCAAGAGCTCCACCCTTCAACAACCCATCCACCTGTCCACTAGAAATAAATCTCTCCTGTTCAACAGTAGGAAAGATTAATCTCTTCTTTGAACAATCTATCAAAATCCTATTGGCAGAAAGCCAATCCATTCCTAAAATCACATCCAAATCAGATAGAGGTAAACAAAACAAATTCACTTTATAACAATGCCTTTCCACTTCCACTGGACATTTCAAACAAACCTCAGAAGTCAAAACAGAACCTGAAGCTGGAGTAGAAACAACTAGATCCACACACAATGAACTCACAACCAAATTTAACCTTGTCACGCATTCATAAGAAATAAAAGAATATGAAGCACCAGAATCAAATAGAATAGAAATATCATTACCATCAACCTTGCCCTTTCCCTTTACCAGCTCAGATGACGTTTCAGCTTCAACACCTGTTAGAGCAAAAACACGACCTGCTGCAATAGGCCGATCCACTTTCTAGTTCCCTCTATCTGGAGTATCTCTGACATTGCAATCTTTAGCCATGTGACCCACCTTGCCACATTTAAAACACACATAGTTCTTTGTAGAACAGTCCCTCATCATATGTGGGCCTCCACATGTGTAACATCTAATACTCTGAACAACTCCTGTAGTAGTAGTCCCCGTTGGTTTCTTATTAGCATTCCCCTTCTGAAATTGAGATGGTCTCTTTTGAAGATGTTTCCCCCTTCCAAATTCAGATGATCCCACTGGACTCTTTGCCAATCTATTTCCTCCTTCAAATCTCTCAACTGTTTTTGCCTTTTCAACTAGAACTGGGAACTCCACAATCCCCATAGGAACAATAGTCTTTTTCAGCTCATACCTTAAACCTTCACTGAACTTCCTACATCTTCATGCTTCAGAGATAGCTTGAGAATAGTACCTAGCCAAGTGTTCAAACTTCACCACTGTCGCAACCCGAAAATTTCCGATCTCGCGACTAA